AGATACAATGCAGTTAGTCACTTATACATAAATATGTTACATGTAAAACAGATACAATGTAGTTAGTCACTTATACATGTTACATGTAAATCAGATACAATGTAGTTAGTCACTTATATATGTTACATGTAAATCAGATACAATGAAGTTAGTCACTTATATATGTTACATGTATATCAGATACAATGTAGTTAGTCACTTATACATATTACATGTAAATCAGATACAATGTAGTTAGTCATTTATACATGTTACAGTTTTAAAAAAACATTTGAAGGTGGCGATCATTGTTAGTTTATCAATTTCATTAAGGAATAGTTAGCATACAACAGACGACGCACGACGGACGACATACATCGCACGATGAACGAATACGGACATCAATAACTCACACATGCCTTTGCTTTTAGTAAACTAAAACACAAATAGAACTAGGAATTATACACCTCGGCAGTCACCACTTATAAAGCGTAGGAAATATACTAACACTTAAGTTTTGTCTTCGTTCTTTTTCTCTCTAACGTTTTTTTGTCATTCATGATATTATTTCTTTCGATTTGAAAAATTCACAGTTCCAGTTTTGCCTTTCTTTAAATTGTTATCACAGGAGCTTATGTTTTTGTCGTGTTTTTTAAATCACATTAGTTTCTGATTTTGTCTTTCTTTTTTGTTTAGGTATCGACTTCCCGTCACTGGAAAGCACCTGTAGAATGAGAAGCGGTTTCAATGGCAGTAAGAAGAGTTCTGTCCTTACGTCGCAACGTTACGCTTCGTTGCAAGGATCGTGGTAGGTCGGGAGGCCTTCAATTGCGGTTAATAGTGCAACAAGACGTTGTAAACATGGATACTTAAATGTCCCTTTATCTGACTTTGAATTTTCCTACAGCTGACTTTACTGCCTCATTGTTGTTTTATTGAGCTATTTTTAGCTGGCCAGTAGCTTGACAAAGGATATTTTCGAAAGCTTGCAAAAGTAGTATTTATTTACTGTTGTGTTCAAAACAAACTAAGCATTAAAGAAATGGTTCAAAGTAGCGCAAAGCGATGAGTACAAGGTAGGGTGTAACTGAACTCTCGTTATCGTCCTTTTGATTGCTGCTATCTCGTCGGTCTACGTCACTGTTGACTGACATTTGTTAAAGGATACAGAGTACATTGACCCAGTTAGCAGTCTCACAGACATTCATAAATCCTTTATTAACAAATTGCATGTGTTTCCCTCTGTGTTTTTTTTACCTATAGTATAAATTTTAATCTACATGTGAAACTCATACCTGCATTTAACTAGTTGTATTCGCGTAAAACTGTGACACAAATGATAAGTTCAATGCAAAATATGCACCCCAGAATTTTGTTACTTTTTACTTACTTTTTGCTTGTTTTGCGTTTTAGACTCGGTTTACTTAGTCTTCGCGTCTCAGCCATGAATATTAAAGAAATGTACAATGAACAAAATGGTACCTAATAGAATATTTAGGATTTAAATGATGTCTGAGAGCAGACATTGAAGATTAGGAGCATCCATAGGTACCCTTAAAGTAATGTATTTTATAAAGTTTGATCATTTTAATTATGCAGCAAATACTTTTTTAAATTTCATGGTAAACAAGTAAGGTCAAAACCGATTAAGGTAACAAAGGCATTTTAAGGTATCCCGACCTTGTTTCATCTACGACCTTGACATTTTTACTTCACTCGAACCAACTCCATTCAGTGTTTGGATAACCTATTCAACATATTTATATATCCTCTGTTCTTTATAGACAGATATCAAAGCCAAATTCCTATTCCACATTATTATCTAAAATAACTAAAAATGCATTTGGAGATTTTTGTGATTTCTTAAATTAGCTCGCTCCCAAAAAAATAATGAATAAAATATAATGAAAATAAAGCCCGACCCGAAATTTGTTTATGCCTAAGAGACTCACCAAGAGAAGGCACACTAGTGGTCTATAAGCATGCTTGTTTAAAAGAGTATTGATATAAAATTAATAAAGTAAACTGCTTTAAGACAAAATTGAGAATTGGCTTCAAAGGATTGAACTCGCAAGCATACTCGTTTGAATTTTCATTAAGAAATATTAAATCGTTTTATATTACTCTAGATGATTAATGCACAATGCCAATGGTCACAATCATGATTGAGGCTGTCGAGATCGTTTATAAATTATTTTATTTGTGGGGTTTTTCTTCCTTCATAAAAAAACAAAGGCCAATGCATTGATGGGAGAGATACATGATGCAAGAAAAGACAGATGTATGCTGTGTTGCAATTGAGAGCACATCACATAATATCCCCTCCGTGTGTTAAAATAGAGATTTGGTTTTATTTAGTTTAAAGTCTTATTAACAGCTTAGGTCATTTAAGGACGTGCTCCATGTGTGTTGTGTGTGCTTGCGTGCGTGTGTGTGTGTGCGTAGGAGACAGGGTATGTTGGTGTAATTGCCTCCTTGTGATCGCACGGATCTGATGCCGACCTTATAGTGATATTTCACTGAAATGCCAGGCCAAGGGCACCCAACATAGCATTCCGTCACATTATACTGACAACGGGTGAAGCAGTTGTTGCCATTCCCCTTAATGCTGTACGCTAGCAGGGAATAACAACTACCATGTTTAAGGACTTTGGTATGCCCCGGCCTGGGAACAGAACCCATTGCCTTCTTCACCAAGGCAAACGCTCAACACTAAAGCCAAAAGCGAGGTGTTGCCAAGCAAGGCGCTAGGATATAAATATTGATAATATATTGCAATTGGTGCAGCTGATTTATTTTAGTCGCTTTTGTGTCCCCTAATAGAAGGCACCAGAGCAAATCCCCAATTCTCCAGTGTGCTACACATTAGTCGTCTCGTCTCTGTAACAAGCAGGTGTATTCTTTTCTCGATCCCCGACCTGCAGGGGTGTACATTTCTGAAGACATATAGGTAAACCCTTTATACGTCACCTCCTCTGATCGTGAAGTACGTGGGTTACAACACTACACTAACTGACCAAGTATATAAAAGATCCAGAGATACAACAGAATACCAAAGTATCAACAAAACCATAACTCAAAACCGATTAAACCAGAACAGAAAATAAACGACGAAAGGATTACCATGGGGTCCATTGAATATTCAAGGATTAAAAGACCAGGTGTTCTGGAAGGGTATGCGTCTCCTGCTTCAACGATGAGAGCCGCCATGTAAATCTAAGTAGAATCCAAGCAATGTCAAATCCTCACATCGAGAATGTAGGTAGTGACAACAAAACCCAAGGTACTCTAATGAGCATGATAAAAACATCGACCTTCAAATCCACAAAGAAAAAGCATATTTCTCTGTGAGATCCTGATGACATCCTCGATACTCCAGGGATTACGCTCACTTACGCTCTTTGCACCTCTGGAATATGTCAAAGCAAAATTAAAGGCACTCCACTAACTATTGAATTGTTCATATACCTCTATACCACCCCATGGCAATTAACCAATATACATGTTGTGAAATACCCAGATCCTTGTGCGGTAAATATTCCAAGGTCATCATCCTGTTTATAGAACACGCGGTTTGTCTGGCACCTGCTGATTGTTCTTTTAAGATTTCGGACATTATCTATTGCTTAATTATAACGTGACAAAAACACTCTTTACCCAGATTGCATTTTAAGTACTGTGTTTGTGTCTTCTTGTTATGACACAATAACATTATCACAAAACTCCTTTGAAACAAATAAATTTCTTTTCTTTAGTTTGAGATTAAGATAACTCATAAAACTGTGATCATGGCCCATACTAATTCAGTTTCACTTATTGATAATTATATTGGAACCTCTGTAATTGTCGTACCCAAATTGTTATGGGGATAAATTAAAACGAAAGTGTAGGAAAAATAACAAACCGCGTATTTACTTCTTCCTATTGATGGTTAAGCATGCAACACAAACATTAGTAAAAAATAAACTGACAGCTGACATAGTGTGATAAAGAGTCACATCAATGTGACATGAAGCGTAGCTTACTTGCCGAGGCCAAAACCAGATCAGCGGTCAACCCGACCGTCTCATTCGTTAGAAATATTGTATTATGTTTGACACTCCCACACATGCGAGAATATTATTGTAAACACATAAAAGAAGGTTGGGTCACTTACAGACCTATTTGTCTGTTACGTTGCGTACATACAAGTTGTAACTCGTTTTGGTCAAGTACACGTTCTGCAACGTAATCCTAAAAACGTCGTTGCACCACGCGACACCATTTGAGGAATAGTGTTTGTTTATAACACACATACTACATTTTCAGGTAATATTATTTCTGTTAGAGTTATTTTGTAAAAGTTTGATAAACCCCACTAAAATTGACAAAATATTGACAAAATAAGTATAAAAAAAATATAAAATCGATTATTAATTCATGCTTTTGAACCTGTCATTCATTGTTAGATATGTTAACAATGCGCTAAGTATTCATATCTCATATAATCTTATCTTAAGATAAGTGGAGAGAATGTTCAAAATAGAAATTTTAAGAAATTCATTTTAAAACCATCTGCAAAGCACATTGCTTTTGACATCATGTAATTATTGTATTTCAGGCAAAGGCATTGGTTTTCTTTGAGCTTTAATAGTACCTTTACTCATTTGTCTATAAAGCATTTGCCCGTTTCCCATATCATAACATTAAAAAGTTTCCGTTTACACATTATCTTAAGCAGTGAATGTATAAGTTGCTACAAAGTGAGAATACATCTCATTATTATCTTTAGTTTATACAGACAACACAGAACAGTGAAGAAAGACAGGAATGTTTGTTCATCTTTACTGGTGCTTTGGTTATATATTTTTTTTATATTTTTAGACAACGTGTATCCTATATACCACTGTATGTTGATCACAATATCTCGAATGTAAACTATTTGTGGTTATTGTCATTTTGTTTTAAAATATAATATCTTTTAGATAAATTTAATATATAGTGATAATGTTTATACTTATTCTTGTACTTACAGCCGACTACCTAGGAAACCCATTATCCAACATGGAGATCCCTGAGGAGTACCTTTGGATGGTGATAGTCGGTTTTATCATCGCCTTCATTCTGTCCTGTGGGATTGGAGCTAATGATGTAGCTAACTCGTTTGGGACCTCGGTCGGTTCCCGGGTGTTGACCCTCAGACAAGCCTGTATACTAGGTTCTATATTTGAAATGCTGGGAGCCATCCTCATTGGTATGTTAATATTGTTAACTGATAATTGCTTTTATTAAGTGATAAGATTTAATCATCCTGGTATACTTCTAATTATATATCTTTTATTTAACCAGGGTTACATATTTAGACAATGTCTAGTTTACAATATGGCCCTGCATCAAATATATATACAAACATGACACAATTTAAGATAACAGTATAACAATGTAGTAAATATAGTATCATCACAGTCAATGTAACTTAAAATTTAGCAATCCTAAAAATATAATTAAATAGTAAACACTTGCATATCACACAAGTGTTACTAAATGACATGGATAAAGCACTATTATAGTCGAATATTCATACAATGCTAATATAGCACAGGGTAAAAATTGACAGGATATATACTAATATAGTGTGTATTAAAATGAGACAATGAAGTCGGTGGTGTAAAAGTAATTTAGAATATAAAATTATCAAATGACATTTGCCTTTAGCTAGAAACAAGATGTAGGAAACTCTACTCGTCTATTAAAATATCAATATAAGGGAGATAATCACAGATACAGCTGTATGCTATTCATACAATAGATTGAATATTATAAAAGAAATGTTTAGAAATTAAAACTTGAGACTAGTTGTAGTACATATATAATAATACGTCTGTATATAGCTAAGATATTGTGAAAAAAAATGCAGGTATCTGCTTTTTAAACCCCCAACAATACAAGAGTCTCTAATAATGGATATTTACTTTGTAATATATTCAATATTCTCTTTCTATGAGAGACAACTATCGATACAAACACCCAGTAGATTTGCACAGTTAACAGTTTCAATCGTGAGATCCCCTACTTTCAAAATCAGCTGCAGACATCTTGCGAGGTTTTGAGAAGACCCTATCATCATACATTGGGTTTTAGTTAAATTCAGACTTAATTTATTATCCCTCATCCATTTAACTGTGTTTAAGATATCTGCTGACATTTTTGCTACCTGGCTTTCTACTGTTTTTTCCCTCAGACTCTGTGATGTATCATCTGTATACATCATAGCTTCAGAGTGTTTCAAACACTTTGGGTAAACGTTAATATTTGAAATGAACAGTAGTGGCCCTAAAATAGAGCCCTGGGCACACCAATATCAATTGGGAGAAAGTCTGACAGTACACCGGGGAAACTTACAGCTTGTGCCCTCCCAGTGAGACACGATTTGAAAAACATTAAGGCTGAAGTTGATACACCATATGCATTAAGCAAAAGAACACTATGGTTAACTGTTTCGAAAGCCTGACGAAGGTCAATAAAAACAACACTAATAAGATACCCTTCGTCAATATTGTTTAGCCATTTATTTACCACACTTACAGTACCAGAACAGTCTCTGTTGAATGGTTTGGTCGAAAACATAATTGGCTGTCGCTTAGAAGTTTATTTGCAGTTAAGAAACCGTAAAACGTTTTATAAACATGCTTTTCTAATATTTTACTTAGACCTACCAGTACAGAGACTGGTTTATAATTGTTTACAGATGTGGGGTCACCCGGTTTAAAAATCGGAGTGACCTTTGCTCTTTTCCATTCTAAGGGAAAGGCACCTTTGGATATTGACAAATTGAATAAAAAGGTAAGAGGAGATACAATAGCTGCTCCTGCATATTTTTAGAGTTTACCAGATATACCATCTAAACCTGTGGCTTTGCCATCAGGCATGTATTTAATTTGATTGCGTACAAAATCTGCTGTAATACTTGGAATGCTATATGGCATCTCCATATCAAAGCACGCAATGTCCTAAAGACTGTCGTCAAAATCTTTACCTATATCGTTACGGATATTAAAGAAACAATTGTTGAAGTTATTGGCTACATCAACTTTATTATCTATTAGAATTCCATCAACATTGAATTAACTGTAATATTAAATTTATTACTGGGCAGAAATTCTTTAATCTTTTTCCAAATTTCTTTTGAATTTTGAGAGCATTGCATAAGAGCCTCATCTAAATACTATCGTTTAGCTTGTCTAATCTTTAAAAGTACTCGATACTTACTCTTTGTATTCCGTGATAATATGTACCCGGTATAAACCTTCAAAAGACGTCTAGGTGATCAAATACTACTAATGTATATTGTCAAGGATCTTCATTTTGTTTTCCTCTTTGTTCGTTAAGAATATGCACGTGCTTTCTTGCTATGACAAAAACAAAACCTTGTTTTAAAAACTATTTTAAGGCTTTTATATTATCTATAAAATGGTGATACACCTCCCACCAACGTGTGTTCATATCAGTCTACGTACAAGTGCATTTGATGTCTATTGCGCGTGATATACAAATGATCAAATAGATTACTAACCTACGATTTCTAGTCACTAGGAAACAGCATCGCTGTGGTTAAAATTATACAAGAAACCAGTAAAATTACTTTTTACCGGTTTGCTAACTACCTGTGTATTTTGTAAGCGATACCTGTTCGTTTCTAAACAAAAACATGATCTATTTAAGATATGTATATTCTGTAACACCAAGATATATCTGCATGAAAAGGAAACATACATTAATTCGCAGATAATACAATTTGTCTCAATGCCAATTCAATTAAGCATGAAATCAACAACAACAAACATCAACCCTTCAATAAAACAAAAGAAGCAAAACAAATGTTACAATGAACAAAGAGGAAAACTTTATTTCATACGGAAATATCACAATAAAAGTGGCATTGTAATAAGCGTTAATACAATCAAAGTACTGAAAGTTTGACTGATTGAGGAAAGAAAATGTAATGATTAAAGCAATTCAAGGTAGTATGGTTACGGACAGGATGTTTTGTATATGGTCCCTCGATCGAACAACAAGTGTAATACTACAATGGACAAGACGTTTATCTCTGTTCACTCACAGATAGTGCTCAACAGTTTAGTTTCTATATCCATTTGAAAACAACGAGAATTGGACAATTATTGAAAAATGTGAATATTTGATAAGATAGTATTTATCTGTCTAATAAAACGGTCGTTACGCCAAACACTGTATCGCAGCTACGTTAACTACATCCACCATATTGGACAAAAGATCAGATACTAAACAGGAGGTACCAAATATGTATTTTGAACATGTTTGCCGTATGTTTATCAAATATTTCTAGCTCTTTCATAGACATGATTGTACTGACATTGGACAATCTGGGTGTCTTTGTGCTTGTCTGGTAAATCGACGCAGCGTTCTTTCAATTAAATACAATGGTACACGATGGTATATTGTAGGAATATTAAGGAAAAAAATGCAAATATTCATGGAAAATACTCAGGATAAATATTTAATGTTTAAAACAACATTTTGTTTTCATATCTGAACTGGGTTAATGTTTATATTATTTCATTAACATATAAAACTTAGATGTAACATTCCAGATTCCACAAACATAAGCATTATTAAAATACTTCAAAAACCTTTCAATATACTATGATATAAATCACCTAAGGCCTTAAACACCACGAATCGCGATGGGTATCGGTTTCACGTGTCGGTTGTTATCGTTCATGAATCTGGCAAAGAGTTGAGAACGAAAAGCATGTGAGGTACTTGTGTAAACGTCCACCTGTGGTACATGAAGTGTGACAAAAACGTGAGACAAAAAACCCTGTGAGGTACTCGTGTTTACGTCTACCTGTGGTACATAAAGGGTGACAAAAACCAGAGATAAAAAAACGTGCGAGGTACTCCTGTTTAAATCTATAGGTGGTACGTGAAAGGTGACAAAACTGGAGATAGACCAAAACGTGCGAGGTACTCGTGTTTACGTCTACCTTTGTTACACGAAGAGTGACAAAACGTGAGATAGACTATCTAAACGTAAGATAGAAAATCGTGCGAGATACGCAAAGTCGGTGAACGTTTTATCAGACTATATTTTTATTTGTGGTTTAGCTTCCTTGCAACCAGGTTAAGTTGTATGTAGACGACTGCCTAGGGAGACACCACCGAAACGAAAGAACAAGTATGCGAGAAAAGAAAGAATGTAGTTCGCAACTGTTGCGATCGGGCAGCAGATGGATTTTAGATCCATGCTAAATGCGAAATGCTAACAATTGTAAATGTTGCATAAAAATCACTTACACAGCATGTTCTGAAACAACAATGAATATGTCAATGTATTGAAGAAGTATAATTTATCTAATGGAAATTTTCAAAATTGAATAACACTGGCGAGCAAGAAAGGGATGTGGAGATTTAGTTGCCATGGTTTTTCGACACATATGTCTAAACACGCTATACTTTGTGTAAGTGAGGAATCAGAGAGACCCTCTTGAGTGAGGAGCACCTACATGTAGCAGTTATCAAATACCATGCAGATAAAAACACTAATACACTTCTTAGCCATAAAAATGAGGACCAATCCACCTAAAGAAAAGCAAAAAATGTTGAAGACTTCCGAAACCGATACCGACTGTAAATCTTAAATCAGCAACACTTTTTCAAGACCTTCTAGGTATCATTCATACGAAGTTGCATCAATATCAAACGCACATCATTTACGTATGATGAGTTCAAAATAGTTTAATGAAAGATAGCCACATGGTGGCAATTTTTAATTGCGATTTCATTCTTTACATTATAACCTTTGATTAGGGCATGGACCTGCTCTGTCATAGTAATTGTTATAAAAAAAGGTGTACGGACAACGGATGACGGATAAGATAGACAAAGCAATAACTCGCATGAAAACATATCTACAAACGAACTCAATATATTGCTACATTTTAGTCCAGGATGTAGTTGCGATGGGTTCCAGGTGTTCCATATTGTCCTTGTTCGTTCCGCTCTAGGACACATGTCATCTGACCCTGTATGTTTTTACACTACCGAATAAAAAAAACACTAGTATGGGATGATGATGATTTGCAGAAATGATGACATGAATATGTTTACAATGGAAGTAGAGTCATGTCTATGTCTATGTTATCGGAGGCAGGCACTGATCTAGCTAGATCATGTTGTAAACTGAAGGAAATTCCTGCTTTGAATTCAAATCCATTTATATATACATATCACCTGACTGGAAAAAAACGTTGAATACTTGCACCATATTGTTTGCATACTTTTTTCAAATTGACTTATATTAAACAATTATTGTGATTATTTATATTTCAATTTCCTTATCAAGGTGTTCGATACTACCATAACACTGTTGGAACCTAAAAAAGCCCGTTCGGTCCTGCGCTTAGATTGTTTGATATTGTTTGAACACCTAGGGTGTTAACGATTATATAGATATACAATATATCGACAAAATTGGCTAATCACCATGACCTGATTTCAAACTATCACAATCAGCAACTAAGTAATACATGACATTATTTTCCAACGTTGATACTTGAGAACGGACATATTTCATATATTTTACATGACAAATGACTGATTTCCTGCCAATTTTGTTCTTGTCATGATGTCACGGTAAAGTTACGATGGTCCCCACACCGACTTTGCTTTGTGTGTTGAAGCGTAAGTATGTTGTTTCTTTATGAATTGCAGGATACAGGGTCTCAGATACGATCCGGAAGGGCATCATTGACGTGGAAATGTATAACAATGGATCTGAGAAGGTCCTTATGGCGGGCAACATTTCCGCACTAACAGGTACAGATCTTTGTTTTATAGATTTATAGACGACGCATGCGCCATTCGTTAAACACGGATTATTATTCGCTGATGCTGCAGTGTTTTTTTAATTTTTGTAAAATGGTTAAGGTTTAATAACAAAACTTGATACCCATGCACAGTTAACGTTTTGACGATTCTCTTATCGTTTGTATTTTTAGAAGATTTTGTTTACTTTATTTTGTACTTTAGTGTCATATAATGCTTTGTATTGTAAATTTTATTTTTATTTTTTATTTCAAAAGAAATTAGAAATTATAAGGATGGAAACAATGCAAACATACGAACGACCTCATTTGAAGAGAAGTATTATTTCAAAAGTTTAATAATGTGCTTCAGAAGAATTACTTTTCTGATAAAAGCTTTGTCGGCCGCGTCGTGATTTGTGCTTGTCCTTATAATTGCCTACGTTAAGTTGTGACTTTTTCCTGTTCTTGATCATTATCTGAGCAGGGTATTATGGTTTTGTGTTGTAAAATTCTAAATACCCTGAGTTATAGCAGGGTTAAGAACTGTTCCGTTGTTATAGTTGATAAAACGTTGTCCACGTACATGTCTGTGCGGATCTCCGTGTAGTTTACAATAAGGAAGTGACAATTATACCTGACATTCCCGGGAGAACTATGATACTGATATGATATTTGCATGTCATGTTCCGAAGAACATGTTCATATCGATAACAATCATAATGGAATAAAGAATGCTTTGTAATTTCATACAAAATATAGTTTTTGCATTGTGACGTCAGGAAAACGATTTTATTAAAATTAATATTCCTTTCAGGATCCTGTGTTTGGATGATAGCTGCTACAATAATGCGTTTGCCTGTTTCCACAACACACAGTATCGTAGGTGCAGCCCTCGGATTTTCCCTGGTTGCTAAGGGAGCGTCGGGAATTAAGTGGATCAAATTAGGCTTAATTGGTAAGGTAACCTAGCTATGAATGCTTTACTAGTAGTACGACCAGTTAAATCGAGCTTTTCACGTTTACCTTATACAGAAAATAAGTAATACGTGGCATCGTAATTATTTTCATAGAAAATAATGTTAATGGTAATAAATAGTGTACAAGAAATAGAGTCAGATAAATCATGTCATATGCATTTTTAATAAAAGTTGTGATCCGTTGGAATATCGTGTATCGCAGAAAGCGTCTGTATATAGTTTACACCTTGAAAAGTCTGAAATTTCATGCCATTTTCTTTTTCAAAATATCAAATGCAAAGAATGAACGTTGGAAAAACGCACTGTAAGGTAGTTTATTTACTAAATGTCAAAGACAATGCTTCTTAATAAGAAAACAACTCACCGTAACGCAATTAGCTTCCAGCGAGAGTGTCAACTACAGTATTCCTATGTTACAAAGGGCGGGATCAGTTCAGACTCAATGTGGTTTTTAAGCATTGCATTATGAATTAAAGATAAAATATCTTCATACCTCGTTATGAAAAGAAATATCATATTTCATTAGTTCTTTTTAATTACAATTTCAGTTGGATCCTGGTTTGTCTCGCCGATTCTCTCGGGTGTCGTATCTATGTTAACGTTCATGTTTATCAACAAGATGGTGCTACAGAAGGTTAGTGGTTTAACAAAGGTCGCTTTTTCAAATCACAAGGTAAATATATTCGAACGTAATATACAAACATAAGCTGACTTTATCTATTATATCATTTGAAAATGACATGGGATGATTACTTAAATTGGGTTGTTCTTGTGCGCATGCAAATCTTCGTCATGTGATGTGAAAGCTCAGCTGCAGCTAACTAGCTCAAAACAATAACACATTGCTCACATTTGCAATACGAGGCTGGTTTCGCACGCGTATGTATTATTGAGAAATGGTACAATACGCGTATGTGTATTTTGTCTTTAATCACCTGATAATTAACCAATGAAATGTGTCGTCACATCGCCATCGGAATTAACATTATTATACACTTTCTAAGTCAGTGATTTTGAATTTATTTATTTATAAGGAAAAAGCCCTGGAATCAGGCCTCATGTTACTGCCTCTCTTTTACGGACTTACGGCCGCCATCAATGCTTTTTCCATTTTCTACAAAGGGTCCAACCGTAAGTCTACTGTTATCAGTTGTAAGCAAGGTAACAGTACGTTGTGACTTTGTTTTGTGAAGTACTTAAGAACATCATATTGCATCATTTATCCTTTACACATTTATATCAGGATGCCAGCTAGTAACCATTGTGAAACCACGCATATAAATAATTATCAACAGTGAATGGATCAGCAAACGGAAACCAAAATGTGACATTATATCGTTGATAAGAAATGCAAAAACCTGATTTATTTTTATTGTATTGTGTCATTTGTATTATAAAGAAAATTAAATTCTGCCATCTACATTATTTCGGTACCGATATGTACTTTTGTAATGATGACACACAGTCTGGGCGAAATTTTAAACCCACTCTACTAATCAATTCAATATCACAACTACAGCAGTATATTATATTACTTCTGTATCTGTATTTACAGTGCTTCATTTCAACAAAATTCCGCTGTATGGAGTGTTTATTATCACGTGCGGGTTGTCTATACTGGTGGCGATCGGAGTGAGTTTTTTTGTCGTCCCCTGGTACAGGCGGAAGATTACAGGTACGGTCGCACCTTACAGGAATGTTTTTGTTTATTGAATTATACAATAAACGTAGATTCTGAGATTTAAGTTAGGTCATTCTTAGCGATGCATGTACTGTAGTATTAAGAAACCATTAGTGACTATGTTTTGAACAACGTATTGTACGCATAGAGATACCTTTTCTAGCATTCGACTTTAAGTGGCATTTTGCATAACATTAGATCTTAAAACTACCGATTCGATTGGCGAAATGAGAACAGAGTTATTTCCCTTCATTAAATGTGTCCCGCCATTTTTTTCTTGAAATGAACCAAAATGATAATAAGAACTAATGAAACAAACTAAATGAAAATAAAGCTTTAAAGAACGGAGGAAACACACGTGAATGTTTTGATACATTATTTGCTTGAAATGCAAACAAAACAATAATGTATTAACAAATATGTCGTAATACTGTGTCTAATATGTAACAATATCTGTACAATTCGTATTCATGTATATATCTATGCTCATGTCATCAATAGACCATTTCGAGTATCGGGCTGTTGACCACTGTAACATTCAACGCATTGTTTTGTATAGGATGCTGAGAAATGTAGTGGTAGGAGCTACAGATATTTCTTGGCTTGGGGATTTGGTTCCGTAGGTCGTGAATTGGAGGCCTGGACAAGGCACGAGTCATTAAACTGTCTTTCTTTGCAACTTTAGTTTCTATGCCATTTATTCAAGGTCATACACACAACGTGTCATATACACTAGTGTATGTTGATCCGAGGGTTTAACACATGAAATATCTCATGGTACTGTGTACACCATGTATTAACACTCGTACCATTGTATTCATGTATGTATCTGGTATTTTCAATGAATAAAGTGTAGTTTTTTTCTCACTTGTAGATGAATGTAACCAAAAGATTGATGAAAAAAATCAAGAAGTTGAAAATGCTACCGAACTCGAGCAACTCAACGATAACGAAGGTTGGTATAATTACATGATTAAATTTCAAATGATATATACATAAACAGGATGATAAACGAAAAACAGGAAACATAATCTTAAAAATAGGACATTTAATTTGAAAAGCGATTATGTTCAAAATATATATGCTTGCTGTGTTCATTTATTAATAAACTATAATGTTTTGAATAACAATATTGACACCTTCTTAGGGGCATCGCATATATTCGTATGAATTTATTTTGGTTATTAAGCAACCTGTTATTGGATATAGACCTTATACAATTTTGATAAAAGAAAAGAAAAGAACGTGTCATAAAAACGATGTATTGTTTAGTATATATTTTTACTTTATTTTTACTGTTTTTTAATTGACTCCACCGTTGCTGGGCGGTTAAGCAATAAACAAACACACTAACTTTTCTTCATATCTTATTTTGACGAAGATTTGGATTTCGTAAAATGCATTTACCGGATATAATTCCGTTGAGACAAATTCGCGCAACAAAATGGCACCCTGTTTTATAAAAAGATGTTAAGAATATCTCAGCACCTTGTAACATAATGTTAATAGAGGTAACACAGCCGAGTTATATTTACCAGCATATCCTAAAACCACAGGAACCATCAAAAATGTGATATAAAGTTATTTTCATATAGAAAGGATTTACATTGAAATTAAAAATACAGCATAAACATATTATTTTCTTGATCATTTTTTTTTTAAAACTATGTCGCAATCATTAGTTTTTTCAACAGTTTTGAACATTGGATTCATACACAGCGCCAATAAAAATCAACTAATAATTATTAAGTTGAAAGTAGTTATGTTCATGTTTCCTGCTCACAGGTAAGTTTGAACTTAATGTTTGTTTTGTCAGGTAGAATATAGATCAGAATCAAATCGATATATATAAAATTTAACTTCAAAGAGTGAAGTCAAACTATTGATACATTGGTCGTATTTGTATCCAAACTTGGTAGATATCATCAAAACAATCGACAGAGAAGACCACATCTCTGATCAAGATATCATGGAGGAACAGTCTCAATGTTAATTAGATTTTTTCGTAGATTATAATTATATATATAATGGTTTATCTTATTACTTAATATTTGGTTTCAGCATATTGTTTTCTTATCTAACAAAATTATAGCACTGTTAATTTAATTAATGAACATACACTCCTATATGTTTTGTAGATATTATAGTGTGAAAGGTCATGAAAGGACATATATACATCCAATGAAATATTTAGGATATTTTATAGCAATATTAGGATGGGTCATTAGGTTGCTCGAATTCCGACATATTAAAACATTTAAAGATATTTTTTCTGTTTATTTTGTATTTGGAGGATGTTGGGGATATTTTTTGTGTGACAATCGTGGATGGTATTAAGGGTGTACAGCGCTGTATCTGGTAGTCTCTCCAATTAACTATGCTCTACCACGTACACTTTTCACATTTTGATTCCACAACATATTCATGGTCGTTGTCAATGTACCTAATGCATTACTCCACCAGTAACTATTACCTTATTCCATTTCCTTCCTCTTATCAAGTTGTGGACGACCCTATCTGTCATTGCGCCATTGCATCGTAGATACCATCAGTCACATGGTTAACATTTGATCCACCTATTTCAATCATTCACTTTTATATACCATCTTAAGAAGGTTATCAAAAAACCGAAATCTTTGAGCAACCAGTCTGCCGATGGAATGTGACTTCACGGTTATTGGTTCTGTTAGAGTATGTAATGTTATGTAATAGGGTAACTTTTGTGTCGTAACATAACGGCTCAATACCTCGAAATGTTTACAAACGCCAAACTATTTGTTATATTCTTGGTTTGTGTATCAATTCAAAAAATAATAAAGTGATCCTTCGTTTGTTCAGACCCAGTGTCTATATAGGTCCATACGTTCGTTATTACTTAGGATACCAATAATATATATTTTTGAGCTTTAACTCAAACAAGTCGATCTTTTTATTACGTCTAATATATAGATAATGAATGCATGTTTTTTTTCATATACTCATACATAGGAATGCATGATATAATAGCATCTACATATTTGTAGTTTTAGTATAATATGACGGTAACTAAAGCGAATGCCTAATTACATATATTTTTCACATAAATATGTTTCCCTGTATATTCGAATAAAGTTATAGCATTTTTTGTTATAATGTAAACCCCTTGTTACCACGTTACTTCCAAATAAACCCCTTGTTACTATGAAACTCTTTGCTTCCATGTCAACCTATTGTTACCAAGTAACTCTTTGTTGCCATGAAAACCCATTATCACCACGTAACTATTTGTTGCCATACAAACCCATTGTTACCACTTAACTCTTTGTTGCCATGCAAACCCATTGTTACGACGTAACTCTTTGTTGCCATGTAAACCCATTATCACCACGTAAAACTTTGTTGCCATTTAAACCCATTATCACAATATAAATCTTTGTTGCCATGTAAACCCATTGTTACCACGTAACGTTTTGCTACTTAATAAAATCATTGTTACCACGTAACTCTATGTTGCCATGTAAACCCATTGTTACCGCCTAACTCTTTGTTGCCATGTAAACTCATTATCACCAAGTAACTCTTTGTTGCCATGTAAACCCATTATCACCACGTAACTCTTTGTTGCCATATAAACCCATTATCACCACATAACTTTTTTGTTGCCATGTAAACTCATTGTTACCACGTAACTTTGTGTTGCCATTTAAACCCCTTGTTACTATGTAACTCCTTGTCGCCATGTTAACCCCTTGTCACTATGTAATTCTTTGTTGGTACGTTAAATTTCACCATGTATGCACATTGTTCTTTAAATATGCATGTATTTGGTAAATTTTAATTACATGCTACAATCAGTTGACGTCTGTTAGTAACATTTTTCAGATCTACCGGAGATTGGGTTCGAAAAAAAGGTAAGTTTGTTTTTCTGACTGACAAACGTTATGATAGAGACAACATCAGCATTAGTGAAGTCTATGTTTTAACATATGTGTTTGAATTTATAAATAATAGGCACTGTTATAGGTTGGGAATCTGTTTTTAGAAGAAAAAAACCAGCAAAGCTACGATGATCCTTCATTCTAGTGTATAACGTTTTATACATACGGGCATTAGTTTTCTGTGAAGCTGCAGCGTTAACTAAATACCTCATTCAAGTTACTTACTGGTTTGACAAATATATGCAAAATATATTTGCCAATGTGTTTACTTAAATTTCATAGCTTTGATACAATGAACAGCATACTGAGCTATGTTTAAAACTCTATGAGATGAACTGTTTAGGTGAGTTTTATATTAACGGGTTTTTATATTTTTTCCCTTTAATTAAAACAGAGAGGATTATAATTATACTTCTTGTTAATGGATCTTTATACTTGTTCGTTTTCTGAAACTGTCTTGATATTAATTTACATATGTCCATCAGGTACCACGTAAGAAAATCCGTGAAAGCATAAAAGACAAACCCGAGGTGGTCAAGTTATTTTCCTTCCTCCAGATCCTCACTGCTGTGTTTGGGTCATTTGCACATGGCGGAAATGACGTCAGGTAATTTATCTAATCATTCAAATTAATTTTATTGCATTTAACAATCAAGGGGATTGGGCACAAATTCTTACAAATTACTAGGCCCTCTCCCAATCATAACCATGCATTTCTATAAGTTTAAATGGCAGACTTCCTTCATATGTAATCCTTAATTTCTGTCGAGATTGAATTAATCAAAAATACCATACAAATCTCGTATACATTTTTTTTTGCTATGACAAAACACTTTAAACAAAAATTACAATAAAAAGTTAAAGAATTCGCCATTAAAAACATATTTTTCAAGTTGATATTCTTTGTTCCATTTCTACATTTTAAGCGATTCACATCGATTCTTCCTTAGTCTTTTGTATATATTTATGTTACACTGCAAACCATTATATAAACATAACAAGAAGAAATACATTTTGTTAGGGCCTAAATGAAATGGAATCACAGCTATTTTTTGCGCTTTTCGTTTTGCTTCGCATTAACTGAGACCATCATAAAAACAATCATTAAGGTGACATTAGGTTTTTTCAATGAAGATCAAATGCAGACACTTTAATATCGCAAATATAAGAGAATACGTATATTAAGATAATATCGCCAATGATTCTATGTCAGTTTGAAATGCAAAAATACGAACTGAACGGCAATTAAAATATTCCTGTGTATTAATTTACTTTTGTATTTATCATGACGTCACAACCTGGCTTAACGGAATATGTGTGTATCCTATTTCGTAAAGAATTTTACCTCTTACAATTGAAAATTGAAATATATTTTAGCGTTTAACATCGCTGATCAGTTCCAGTAGCTATATTTGTGTATTTTTGGTGTTTAATCAGTGTAACTTCAATGATTTAAGAGGCACCATAAGACCGTCAAAGGATAGAGATGTATTGAAGAATGGTAGTAATCAATAATGAGATCCTGCTTATTTTATGTATATCAATGAAAAACACGCTACCCGGTGCACTTAATCTAGATGTTTCGTCGGACGTGATAAGGTATGGGTCCACCTGCCTGACCACGTGGGATTTCTCCGGGTACTCCGGTTTCCTCCCACACAAAGACCCCTTGCGCGCTAATATCCGGGCCAACAAGAGTGATTAATATAAATTAACATAACTTGTTGTAAAATAAAAAAAAGTTTATATATTTATATAGATGTTTCTTTTGTTTAATTAAAACAGTAACTCCATTGGTCCTTTGGTTGCCATTTGGATGATAGCAAAGGAAGGAACCGCCATGCAGACGTCTTCCACTCCTTTGTGGACATTGGTGTATGGAGGGGCGGGCATTGTCATTGGATTGTGGATCTGGGGACGAAGGGTCATCAAAACTGTTGGGGACGACCTCACCAAGATCACGCCGTCAAGGTCAGTAAAAAACGGCTGTTTACTTAAAGTCTTAAAATAAGCAGTAAATGTTCTATTGTTCGACAGGTGCAAAATACTTAAATAAGCATTACCATGGTGTCACGTGCTACAAAAGACTCAAGTTGTTCAATAATTGTGTTTCGATTGGAAAAATATCATCACGTCCACTTCTAATAACTCCTGGACGTCAAAGCACCCGGTATGGACAAAAAGATAAATCAAAACCTAGGTCCATGACTGTGTTGACAACACTCTAGACGATATGTTTTTGCGATATATTGAGATTGGTATTCAGTTTCAGATAAGTTATAAAATGGTAGTGATAACTCATATTGTCACTAAAACATACATACACACTACACATTTAATTAACTGAATTTCATTTCCTTCCAGTGGGTTCTGTATAGAGCTTGGATCTGCTCTGACAGTCCTGATAGCCTCAAACGTAGGTATCCCCGTCAGTACGACACACTGTAAGATTGGTTCCGTCGTATTCGTCGGAAGGGTTCGTTCCAAGGTAAACGTCGACTGGAAATTGTTCCGGAACATTATCATCGCGTGGGTCGTCACACTTCCGGTCAGTGGTGGCATCAGCGCCTTGGCTATGCTTGGATTACAGGAACTGATATGAGATAGTATGGAGGAGTTTTTTCCCCATCATTGGACAGTGTGCAATTGTAGGCTTATTCTTTGTATAAAAAAATCACCCATAGCCACCGTACGGTACTGTTCTCTGCTACCTATGTAGATATTCTTACGAGGAGTGTGTGTGGCATTCGTCAGTCTTACTGACTATGTAGATTTTCGTGTGCGTGTGTGTGACACGATGTCATGTTTCCTTAGTATTGATAATATAGTGTTTAGATCATCAAATTATTCTTAAATAAAAAATGTGCGTAAATGTGAATTTGGTCTGAGAAATTCTTGATTTGAGCCTAAGTTTGATGTCATTTTTGTTTAATCAGGGAGCTGCTAAATTTCCGTATTTATAAGTGTGTTATCATTTAATGCAGGAATGATTGAAATTGTCATCACGTTATACTGTTTTGTAAATTGTATGTACATAAATATCATGTAATATGTTGCTGTTAAATAAACTATGTAAATCAATGGAAGTCTAGAATCACATTACTACTTATGACTACCATGTCAGAATCTATGCTTAACTTTCCGACTTATTGTGAATTAGTGTCCGACCAATAAAGTGACTTTTGAGACACCAATCTTCGTAGATTTGGCGCTCTGTAAACAACTCATACAGTATACTTAAGGAAAGAAGAAGCATGTATCAACGACCTTGACATTTCTCAGTTAGGCGACATTTGCTGGTTAGGTCATATTACTGGTAATGTGCGTAAGCCTATTATATACCTTAGCCCTGACATTATTATCTCTTGAGCTTGGACCAGCTTGAACAGTCCTGTTGGCCTCAAACATCGGAATCACCGTCATATTAGTCGGCAAGATGTGTTCCAAGGCAAACGTCGACTGGAAATTGTTCTCTCTTTACATATTAACATGTTTTCCAGTGTTATGATGCATTCAGACAATTCAATTAAATTTCACATTATCCTTAAAGTGATTTATATGTTCACATCTGCTGATTTCTATCGTCAAGATAATTAGTCAGTATCTTACTTCACTATGACGCATTCTGGACAGCCGGTCAATGACGAAGGACATTCTCTTCCTCTGACAAGATGGTTGTTAATACTTCGCCCAAACAACATCATTGTGTACCAGGAATCCTCTTTAATACTTTACATGGCACGTTCAGTAAACTATACATCTCGTCCTCTATGCATCTCCTCGCCAGTCATACATTTCAGAATCTTCAGATTAAATTCTCTTGTTGGTAAATCACAGGAACATGCATTTTGAGCGAAGTAGAAAGATTTTGATCTCTAAGATTTCAAATATCAAACCAGATCGCGAGAATAAATTTGATCACATCCAGATATTTTTGAAAGAAGATATCTCAAATATTTTCAATGACATTTTAGGAACTATCAGTATTATTGTGTATTAAATGCAATATGATAGAGGTATCTGTACTGCAATGATTGAATAAAAATAAGATAATCTCACCACAAACAGAAATAGGCAGTAAGATCAATTACTGGTCAGAGCGATATCACTGCCTTTAGGATAATGGAGAATGTTAATTCTCAGCAAAATTGAATTTGAGACCAACACCTTTACTGTGTACCGAGAAATGTTCGCCTAGTCACAATTTCGCCAATCACAATGGAATCAATTTTCGTCCAGGATAAGTCCCCCCATCACACTTAATTACTATGTTTATAATGCTATTTACATATATATATCATAAGAGGGGGCAGCGAAAATGTCCATGTATACAACATCTGAATTAGATTGCCTCTTTCAAGTTTTAGTCGCATTAATATTTTAAACCTTGATTGTGTGTTCTGAATTAAAAAAAAAAAGTTTTACATCTTACCAATACTATAATCAAACAGTTCCTACGGCGATATGACGTCATACAAAGCACGATCCAAGCTTGGCTTACACCTTCAAAAGTATATCTACAACAAAAGCGTAATTTAGTAAGAACAGTTTAAGCAAACAAAAACAATAAAACATAAAGGCCTCCCGTTGACTACTATATAAGATGTTTCTTTAACAAAAACTTTCATTTCACCAGTGTGTCTGTATTTTCGGTCACGTCTTCATTTGACGTCATGCGATTTATGCAATACTGATTACTGCAACCATTATGGAAGTTTGATGTTTGATATCATAAGGTCACAAGTGTTGTCTTTCTTGATAAATCTGAAGTATAATAGGATGTTAGAGTTATCTCCTTTGTAAAGAAATCTACAGATAGTTTCCCATAATTCCATGTTATTGGGTGAATTTCATGGTATGTTTTGTCATGTGCAAAAAATTGAATTCCCACCCTCCCGACCCACTGGGAAACACTAAACACCCTTCCGACCAACTGGGAAACACTAAACACCCTCCCGACCAACTGGGAAACACTAAACACCCTCCCGACCCACTGGGAAACACTAAACACCCTCCCGACCGGGACCCCTATTAAACATTTGCGTAATTTTCTTTAAAGCATTGCTTTTCAATCGTGAAATTGATTATGAATGCATATAATGTTTTATTATGTTACCATTACATAACTTTTCAGCAATTTCAAGATGTTTAGCACTTGGGAAGTGAGCGCACATACTGCTTTTAGATTATGTTTTTCTTTCACATCATGGGTTTCTGGAATGCCTTGCAGGGACATTATAAATCTGCTTAGTGTGTGTGGCCTGCATTAACTGCAGACTCATTCTGGAAATGTGCAGTGTTTCTTTTCTCAATTGGACTGTAAGTATAGTCTTCGGACATATATCACAAGTGGAGAGGTGAAGGTCTTATTACCAAAGACATATTATTATTAGAACCAAGGTTAACTCATTCACATTATATTGACGAGTGACTGTGGACAGTGGGTAGAAATACTGAATTGCTAAATGATTTACATGAATCTTTCCTGAGTATACGGTGTACATGACCTCAAATATTTTTCTTTGTCACAGATTTGCTGTTTTAAACATGGCAGAATTCTGGTAAGTTGGCAACATAACATGTTTCAATAAGCAAATACCCTATCTTAATAAAGTGGTACATGTATCATGGGTAGGGCTGCTTGGTTTTCCCAAGGGACATACTTCAGTGGTAATGTAATAAAGGGGAGATAACTCTGGTAAGAGATGGATAGATCCAAGGAAGTTATGTGTTGGCCTGCACGGAATTCCCATGGGGCTCATATTGGTTAATAGGCAACTGCTTGGAGCACGGTGTGCTTTGCACAAGGATTGTGTTCCCAAGGTTTCCCGGGGAACGGTCAATCTGGTTGCTGTTTTGTCCGGTCACCATGCTAGTGGGCATACAGCTGGAGATATCAGTCTTTGCCAGTTTCCAGATATACTTATTGATACATGTTATAGCCATCTAGTTTTGAAGGTTTTTGAATACATCTGTGGCCTTCAATCCCATTACTGTGTTGGAGTTGTTTGTTTTAGAATAATGGTTTTGAGATAATGCAAAAAAGTTGTTGCCAATAGTTGTGCATTTTAGTAATAATAAAGTAGTACGGGTGAGTTTGTCAATGCCCGCTACGTCAATAAATGTACAATATAACAACAAAACCTGATAGATGTCATGCTGCAATGGGTAATATAGATATACAAGGCTCATTATAGGTAGGTAGTTATTCTTGTAAGGACACCGAAGCATAGAAAGATAAGGGAAATCAGTTCTTATTATTAATGCACAAAATATAAAAATAAGTGCCAGTTTAGGTATGTTTACTTAAACCGATTTAAAGAAGACAAACGTTGAAAAAGTCCAGTCAAGTGTACCGGTAAACGTGGGTTCGACAATTCATAATTCAAACCATTTTTTTTTTAAGATACTGAACCAAATTATTTGTTGATAATTACATAATGTAGCCAACTCTTTTGGTACCTCGGTCGGTTCCCGGGTGTTGACCATCAGACAAGTCTGCGTAATTGGAACTATATTTGAAATACTGGGATCTATCCTCGTTAGTATGTAAAACATGGCTAGCTAATAAAATCTTTTATTTAATGACGATAATATCAAATCATGCGAGGACACTCTTTGCTTTCCATGAACAAAATCTCAAACGGGTAACACGAAACACTGTTCCTGTAGTACATCAATCTATACTGTGCTACGTTTAAGCACTGACTATTTTAGCAAATAAAGTTTTAGTCCTGTAAAACACATTGCTGTGTATGGAAAACTTAACGAAGACAGCAACGTCTTTATTGTAGTTTTTTGTCAGCAATAGTCAGATGGAACATCCAAATTAACGAACCTTCTGGGTAGATCATTACAATATAGTATGGGAAAGAACTCGCATCATATTAAGGACAAAATAAGATATACTACTTCAAATGCATATATTTACATTTGCATGGCAATGTCATTATATAGCCTCTTTGAAAGCTGTGTCGTTGATGGGACTTTAATTACCATGCCGCACGAGACACAATCCTTAGCGTATTAATTACAACACTGACCGGAACTACAATATCCAATGTAAATAAACATGATGGCTGCTGAAATATCGCTGGGCATTGTGAGACTTGACAATGTCATTGTGAATTTATGTGCAAAAAAGAAAAAAGAAATAAAAATACTTTTATTACAACAAAAACAGGACCAATGTCTGTCTGCAATATCGTACAAAATGCACATCGGTTGGAATCACCAATGCCGGCAATGGAAACAATTTTAACGCTCATGCAATTTATTAGAACCATCGTCTGTTACACTGCACTGATTAACAGGGGTTCGTTACAAATGTAGGGAAATACACATAATATATAGACCTACTGAAACAAAGTTACAGACCTACTGATATGAGTCACAGCACACATAAACATTTCAGACATTTGTAACGAACCCCGGCCTCTGCTCCGTCGCAAGATCACTCACTTCAAACGATATCAGTTTGACGCGTCTCGCAGCCACCGTTTTCGTGAGGTTCTGACGACATGTCAAATAACGAGGGTGTTATAGAATTTACCGACTGTAGTCAGATTCCCATACAATCAACAAAAAATCTAAGGCTGGATTCTTCACGTTAGCGCGCATTATGTTGTTTGCTTGCAAAGCTGTGTCATTCAAATAGATCATAAATACCATACAAAAACAATTCAATGTTTAGATGAAAAAGCTATATTTCATTACATATATCCTTAAAATGTGTAATTCTGCTTCATATTTATTTCAAATCGCGCTTGCAAGAATGTATGTTGGTCACTGGCGGTTCGGTTCATCGATTTGAAATAGTCATTGTTAAAGGTTGATATGTTGAAGGAACGAAGAATCGCTACTTATTTTGTAAGTTTAATGTGTTTTTTGTTTTTCTGTAAATCAAAGGAGTCAAACACCATGTAACTATTTAACCTATTGCTTGTCGAGTTAGCGATAGGGAAGGGAGAGAGATTGCATTATAATGGAAGGACGGG